TGGGTTAAATTGGGTACATACTTTGCCACTAGCGCTCATGGCATGCAGAGCGAGCACTCACAGAACACTGGGGCTAACACCACATGAGGCTTTGTTTGGCCGGCCGATGCCTTCGCCAGTGTACAGAGCAGTGAAGAGTCCATCTATGGACATTTTGACAAATGACATGAAGTCATATGTGAAGCAAATGACTAACATACAGATGAGTATCTCCTCCCGTGTTGTTTCTCTACAGGCTAGAGAGGTCCAGGAGGATGAAGAGCCCAAAGTGAAACCAGGAGACTTAGTGTATGTTAAAGTGTTTAGGAGAAAGTGGGACTTTCCTCAAAGAGAAGGTCCATACGAGGTGGTCAGTGCAACCGGCCGTGCAGTGCACGTAAAAGGTTCGCCTACGTGGTATCATCTGTGTGAAGGTCCCTGAGGACACGGACAGCTCAGAGCCAGAAGTAGTGCCAAAAGAGGAAAATGAACATCATCTGGAGCAGCAGCCAGTGTCTGAGGAGGGGAGTGAGCTTGATACTCCTCCTGACAATGATGCTGGTCATGATCCAGCTGTGCTCCCATCTCCTTGACTCTCCAGAGGAGGGGGGAGCAAGGGAGAGGTGATGGAGCTGTGGTAAGAAGTAAAAGGGCTGCACTTAGGAATGGCCAGGTGTGCAAGAGTGGAGGTATACGGAGAACGATACTTGGGTTGCACACATGTCTAAGCAACCCTGGACTTCTAACATAGACACTTTCAGTCTCTATGTGTACTCAGATCAAATACCTGGAAGAGTGTGTGGAATCGAGTGGATTTCTAGATGGTGGACCAGCAGACTCCCTGACTCTTGGGGACAAGATCAGTGTTCCATCAGAGTGAGGGAAAAATAAGTTAATTGGCATGATGTCTGGGTGGTTAGAGTAGGATTCAAACCACCATTGGGACAGCAAAATGAGACATATTATGTCACATGTAGTAAGGTCATAAACAGAATGTCAAATGCAATTGAAGAATCTGTAGTCCTGCAACCCCAAAGTGGACCAGTACAAAACAACAGATCAATTGTCGCTAAGACTTTGGCTGTAACTGCTAAACCAGCTTTGAACCAGGAGGAAATGACAGTGAAGCCAGTTAAAGTGATTGCTCCAACGTGGAGAACAGCAGCAATTGAGAAAGTGACCAAGCCACACAAAAGGAATACTGGTATGAGGAGTGCTGAGTCTGAAGGAACAGGTGGTAACTCCAATAGTAGTAGGTTAGTTTGGGTCTGCAGGACAGTGGCTGACTGATGGTTTCAGGCCAGGAGTGCCATTTGATCAGTGGGAAGATTATGCAGAGGAGAAAGAGCATGGCCTTGTTAACAGTCAGAATAGTTGGTACCGATGGGTCCAATTTGCAGGACGGCTCAATGGGAAGGAAGATTGTTACATCTGTACCAAGGCTAGGTCAGAAAGATTGTTTGTGCTGAACACAGTGTTCAGTTGGCAGGAGTGTAGTCGTGAGGTCTCAAAGACTGACTTAAACCCTCGACCGTGGTGCAAGGCTGAGTGTCTATCCTTTCTGGGCTCACCATCACACCACCTGGTGGCCAACTTCAGAGCAGAGAGCATCACTAATGTCTAGCGATGCAGAGAATTAGATGTGACTGTAGGGGAAAGAAGTGCAGTGCTGGGAATGCCACATGGTGTTCCATTGATACCAGTAGGACGGTTTGAGTGTATTGAGAAACAGGAGCTGTCCCCCTAGGGAAAGTGAGTCTTGACCGGTGTAACTACAGGTGGAAGCTGGACACACTGAATTGTACAAAGCCAAACTTGCATCCAGCTCCCCAGTTAAAAGGAGGCGCACTGCACGTGCAGGTTCCAGAGTGTCCTTATTTTGATCAAACCATAGCATTAGCTGATCACTTTTGGTGGTGTGGTGGACAACATTTGTATTCAGTTCTCCCAATCAACTGGGAAGGTAATGTGATAGAGTACAGGTGGCTCAGGAATTGATCACATTTGCCTCGGCAGAACAGGTTAAGAATGGTAGTGCCAGAAATAAGAGAGCGTATTCTCCAGAATCCAGAGTGTATCTTGACTCAATCGGCCAGCCATGTGGAATTCCAGATGAGTTTAAAGCCAGACATGAGATTGCATCAGGGTTTGAGTCTATCTTACCCTGGATAACCACTATTAAAAACACTGAGTGGATATACTACATCTTTTATAACCAACACCGATTCAGTAATCACACAGATGAGGCTCTAGGTGCATTAGGAGAGCAGGTGAGTGCTACAAGTGCTATGGCCTGGCAGAATTGACAAGTGCTTGACTGGATTCTAGCAGAAAAAGGAGGTCTGTGTGCTCTCATAGGAGAGTACTGCTGTATTTATATACCGGGACATGCAGCTCCTGAGGGAGCTTTCACGGAGGCTATGAGGAAGCTTAAGGATTTGAAGTCTGAATTAATGGATAATGCTGGTAAGGATACTAATCTGGGTTGGATAAATTGATTAGTGAATACTACCAGTGGCTGGAAACAGGGTTTAGTGAGTTTAGTGGTAATTGTCTCTATTGGAGTAGTTGCAATGAGTTTTGTCCTGTGTTGTTGTCTTCCTGTGATGAGGTCAGTGATACTTAGAGCAGTTGAGAGAAAAACACTGCAGATGGTAATGATGGCACAGGAAGTGAAGCAGAATCAGGGTGGAGACAAGCTCGAAATGGAGTGGCTGGACGTCAGAGGAGAAGATGGAGAAGAGCTCTACCAGGTGGCGGCCGAGTGAAACGGGAAGAAGATAAGCTGACTGAAGGACAATGGATGACATCACATCACATCTCCATATATTCACATTACATATAATCATTTTTACACATTTATTATTCAATCATTTACATTGCTGAGTATTTTCATTTAATCATTTTCATTTGATCATTTTCATTTTATTTCAGTAGATCATTTCAGAATTATAAGATTTTTCTGAGTATGTGTGTTTATGGGTAATGAAAATAATATACTACAACATATTACAGAGCAAGTTACTGGATATTTACACAATAGTTTCATTACATTACTAATTTTTGTGTTATACATGTGTTATGTTTTAAATCTACATTTGTGATTCTCACTATGTCTGTTTTCTGTTTGCTCTCAGATCCAGTGCAGGCCCTTTGTTGGTGATGCCCATCCAGAAGGAAGCCTGGGGGTCGCTCAGGAATTTTCCCCCCACCTGAAAGTCAAACAAATGACTCAAACAAAACCAAGATTACACAAAGATCAATGTGTTAAGTTCAGGGTTTTTCGCCTAAGTCTGCCTGACAAATGTCTTGATGTAAAGACCTGTGTTAAACTGACAGAAAATGTTTGCATTGACGTGTATAATTGAAACTGTGTTATGTGTAGGGGAGGGGGGATCGCCTTGTCGGTTATTCTTTCTTCCTATGAGTAAAATTAGAAAGTCTTGCCATGTTAAAGCTGCATTCATTGTGCTTACGAGCATGTTTTTTAGAGTGTAGAGAGTTGGTTTAGTGTAGAATTGCTCTGCTAAGGCTAGTTAACTGACTTGTTCACAATTTGATTTGACAAATGCTTCCTCATTACATTTATTAAACACAAATCAGGTGGCATTACATTTCTCAGTGACTATAATTTATTTGGAGCTGGGTTGAATTAACATATTCTTGATTAACATGTGTTATGGGATATTACATATATGTCTCCTAGAATATATATTAGAATAGACTTCTAGTGTTAGTATAGGAAAATGCTTGTGTAACAAGGAAAGGTCAGCGACCTTTTGTTCTCTCTGTGCTGCTCGAAGTGGAAGTCGGATGGTCAGGACTTTCCAAAAAAAGGAGAAGACAGTTAAAGGCTGAGGTAATGAGGAACGAATGCCAGGAAGAGAGAGATGGGAATAAAAAGTAGCAGGGGGATTGATCAGGAGTTTTATACGTGAAAACCTCTGGGAGAAGAGGTGTCCCAGACTACCTGACTTCCTCTGCAGAGTGACAAAAGACTAAAGACTGACAAGGTGATCCTGTCTCCCATCCACAATCATATTTCAATAATATTGTTCAATAAATGTTTCTGGGCACTGCAGTAATTTTTCCTGTGCATTGATTCTACCCACGACAGGTTTTTCCTCAATAATAATAACAGTAATTATAGTAAGTTCTAGACCTTACATTAGCCGCCCCTGGTAGGCTAGTGGTTAAGGCGCAACGCTCTTGCCACTGCGGCCTGGGTTCGAATCAGGGTTGCATCAGGAAGGGCATCCGGTGTAAAACACGTGCCAAATATCAACATGCAAGTCATCAGTGTGATGATACGCTGTGGCGACCCCTAAACGGGAAAAGCTGAAACTGTCTTTCTAGACCTTACATTGTAAAGTGTCCAGAGACAACTTTTGTTGTGATTCAGTGCTATACAAATAAAATTGAATTGAATTGAAATGTTTGCCATAAGTTGACAGCATAGCTTTGAAATAGCTGAATAAGTTGATTACTGAACTGATCTGAAAGCACACTCCGACAGCACTCATCACTGCCAGGTTTTGGCTCCCATTCACAAAATCTGCTATAAATCTCAGTTACAAGACATTTTGAATGGCAGATGCTGTGTTATACTAGTAAACCAAACAGACAAACTGAACCCTCAAGGAGTACATGGAGCTACTGATCCTGTGGTTATCTTTCCATGCTTGGACCCTTCCCAGGATGCGGGTTTACCCAACCTCAGCATGACTCAGTTCTTCCTCTGCTACATGTTGGTGGAAAATAGGTTTGGTGAAAAAAGACAACAATCAAAACGGCATGTTGTATAAGCTTCTCCTTTTCTCTTCATTCCACAGCACCATGGCAACATTCACTTTGATATGCAGATACCCCCACCATTTGTACAGTGCAGCACCAAAGGGAATATTGACTTTTCAGAGAGGCAGAGAGCTTTTGCATTAATTGTGCAGCTAAAACTGTTCTTCTCCTTTTTTGGCTTTTATGCATTTGAAACATAGTATGTCTTATCTCCTTTCTTTCTCCAGATATAGAGGGAAGCATGTACTGGAGCCAAGGATTGTCTTCTGACGAAGGAACTAGTCTAACTGTTACCCTCATGTAAAACTACAGAACCAAAAGGCTGAAAGCCCATATTAGTGTTTTTTTGTTTGTTTGTTTTTTGTTTTTTGCTTCAGTCATCATGATGCTTTGTCACTAGCCTTTTTCTACATGTTTATGGAACAGGACCAAAGTTGGTGCTGATAACACTCAAGAAAAGCATTTTACTTTAACCATACAAACCACCACCTGCCATGGATTGCCTGTGTCCGGGTGAAGATGTAAGCCGGACGCAGGCCTGCATCAGCAAACTGTAGCAATCTGGATTCTCTTCACCTTATTTCCTGTTCACTCTGGAGATATTTTTTATAGTATTTGGATGAGGGATGGATGTACCAGAAGCCAGCAAACATGGCAAGCAGTCGACAAGTCAAAAGCTGGAGGACCAGAAAAAGGTAGGAAGAAATGTTCCCTTCTTTCTCCTGTTGTGTCTGTGCTATTTTTGCGGTTTCCCAGTTGTATGTATGTTGAAGCCAAGAGATGAAAATTTGTTTACTGGCTGGTTTGTTCTCTTTACAAAAAAGGAGAACATGTTTGTCCAATTGCTGTTGTTATCTGAATTCTCAGTAGTTTTTTATGCTCCATAGCTCCTAATAACTAGTTATAAGGGTGAGGGGGTAAAAGTGACATTTCAGCTCCCCCTCAGCACCTCCAGTTTTTAATCTCTTGTGGTGTGGCAGTGTGGAGGGCCTGCCCCAGCCCCCTCCTGGAAATGCATATTTACTCTGTTTGAGATGCTTTTTATATTAACCTCTCTGGGAGGAGGAAGTGAAGACTACCCTTAAAATGACACGGATTTCTGTAAAGTGATATCATTTATACTAAATCATGTATACTAATGGTCTCTGGTTCCACTGTGGAGGGCAGAGTAACTAGAGATGATGAGTTTTGTGCACGCTGCTTTTGAACCTTAGTCTGAATGCAATGCTGTGACCTGCAGGTTCAGATCCATCTGTGTGGCCATGGTGGCTGGATTGATCGAGAGAATTCAGGAGTTAGGTGTTAGTTCACACAGTTTGTAGAATGTGGGCTTTGAGGACAGCAGCACTAGCGTCTGCCTTTCTGGTCAATAAAAAGCAATGGCTCATTTCGAGAGTCTATGCATAGCTACAGATACAGTATACACAGGACTAAATTGTGTAGGACTAAAAGAGAAAGAACATACAAACAAATATGTTATATTCAGTATACAGTGGGTATGGAAAGTATTCAGACCCCCTTAAATTTTTCACTCTTTGTTATATTGCAGCCATGTGCTAAAATCGTTTAAGTTCATTTTTTTCCTCATTAATGTACACACAGCACCCCATATTGACAGAAAAACACAGAATTTTTGACATTTTTGCAGATTTATTAAAAAAGAAAAACTGAAATATCACATGGTCATAAGTATTCAGACCCTTTGCTGTGACACTCATATATTTAACTTAGGCTCTGTCCATTTCATCTGATCATCCCTGAGATGGTTCTACACCTTCATTTGAGTCCAGCGGTGTTTGATTATACTGATTGGACGTGATTAGGAAAGCCACACACCTGTCTATACA